AGAAAGAAAGAAAGAAAGAAAGAAAGAAAGAAAGAAAGAAAGAAAGAAAGAAAGAAAGAAAGAAAGAAGGGAAAGAAAGAAGGGAAAGAAAGAAGTTCTTTAAAAGTTTATGTGTATTTAGCGGCTTCAGCTTTAACTGCAACTTGCCAGGATAGGAATATGATAGCTTCCACCAATGTCATCTTCATCCTTGCTGCACTGCTTAGTGCTCACTAACCCTGATCCAGAAAACAAGTCGGACATCTGATATGTCCATGCTCATTCCGGGTCACGGACTCACCAAGCCGTTAGGATTCATCTGAATATAAAATATATCAGACCAGCCAGTGTGGAGGGCAGGTATTGTCATTGCCGATAAGCCAACCAGCACACACTACCCGGACCCGGCATGCAGCATTCTCCACAATTCACCAATCTCCTTCCTTGTCAAGCACTGGCTATATGTCTTTAAAGATTTTTTTCCCAGCTCTCCCTTCAAGTCCTAATGCAACGCTCAGGAGGAGGAAAATTTTCAATACAAAGCCACAAGCTGCAAGCATGAACCTTAAAGGGCGCGTTCACCACCATGAACGGGTGTCATAGTGCATGTTGTATCGATGTACATGTGTTTTTCTGTGCGTCATCTATTTCCTCTGGCTTCTCAACACATCAAAAGCCACATCTGACCCTTTTCTTCTCATCACAACAGCTGCATGTTTTGCAACGCTTTAAGGCGCATTGAGGGCCTTTTAGAAATAAATGGGTGCACATGGAAAAGGAAAACAGCGAATGAAAGTAAGATTTATATCTTGATATACCATGTGAATTATAAGTGTGAATGTGGCCTGAATCACACACAAACAGCATGGTACCCCCTTCCATAAACACATTCAAATCAAACACCTCTTCGATAGCAGCAAAACATTCACTGTAAAACTCCAATGCTCCGCCCCTGAGGATTTCTTCTAAACTACCACTAAAGCTCCACCCCTAAGGATTTCTTCTAAACTAACAATAAAGCTCCACCCCTGAGAATTTCTTCTAAACTACCAATAAAGCTCCACCCCTTAGGGGTTCTCTACCAACACAAGTGCGACTTCTGCACACCCATGTAGAACCATATTAATAGCTGTGTGCACCAATCAAAATCACTCCCGCAACAGCTGCATCTGTGGTCCTTTTGGCCCATGCTCTCAGAAACCCTTCATGACACTTCACAAAAAGTAAAAATGTCTAAAGGAAGGCAGAAATTGGAGAAAAAATACAGGCTGTCAATGGTGGCCTCCTGCTGAAATTGCTATTTGCCTGGCTTTCCCTGGGTCAAATACTTTAAAAAAAGGATGCAACCGATAAAGACAATTCTGGTGATCTGCATATTTCTAATTAGTGATTCAAAAAGTATTGATGCCAGAGGATCAGTATGACAAACAAGCAACCAGCATTTTCTCCAGCAGAGGTCAGCCTATATATTTCGCTCAAAAACAGGAAGGTAAATGACCATGGCCATCAGCTATTCAGGTCTTACTGAGCATCACAAATGGTTAATCACGGGTGCCACCAATCCAGTCACAGCCGAGGTTTCCATCCAGCACTGCAGGGGACCACTCAGGACTTCAGGAGGTGGTTGTGGTTCAGGGGACATTTTGATGTGTATAATACCCCAGAGGGGTGACCTGCCCTGGAACTAGAATAACTTCTAGAAGTCGAGCAATGGTAGCCTCCGGTCCTGGGTGAGAACCTCGGCTGTACCAGGTGACAGGTTCTCTTTAAACATACTGCACAGTAACACTGAATGTACGCAAGACATGGAATACCGGTCTCATTTCCCAAACAACATCACATCCTATTACACATTTAACATGTACAACACGAGCCTGCAGTAGACCCTGTGCTCCTGTCTTACCTTCTGGCTCGCTTTTAATCAGCTCCTCCATTTTCCTCTGTTTCAGCGAGTCCACCACGTCCGCTAAGCTACCTTTGCGCCTCTCGGGCGTTCCCAGCGCGTTATTTGTCACAGATTCGCCACTTTGCCTCCCACCTTCATCGGCCTTCATGGGTGAGGTAGCTGAGATGTGCGGGGCGAAAGAAGAGACGACTTTATTGCCATCAATATCCTGCAAGAGAAAGTGAAGAGGAACATTGATCAGAGACACTCACAGGGCTCTCCTGGCGCCACATCGCCTCCATGTCACTCGGTGCATACATGATAAAAACATAAACTGTCCACGTGTGTAGCAAAGATTCTTCATATTAGATTTTATTGTTGTCACTAAGCAACCCAAAGAGTGAAAATTTAAAGGTTATGTCCACTAAAAACAGTCAAATCCAGAAGTACCAGATATTTTTATTAGAGTTTCAGAAGCAGAGAGTGAGGTGGATAGGTAATGGTACGGTTTAAGCCGACACCTTATGGATCCTGCTACTCACTCTGAAATGTCTCCCTATAGGAAGAGAGCAACAGGTTCACTTTAATGAGGTCCTCTATATGCATTCTGTTTACTCCCCCACCACTCTGCACAACCCCCTGGAGCAAAGAGAGAGAGACCTTAATATAAAATCCAAATTGTAGTATTATAATAATAATAATGTGTGACTGTGGTGGTATATTAGAGTGTAAGCTCCTCTGGTGCAAAGATTAATGTGACTAACTCTGTGTTCTCTGTACAGCACCGCAGTATATGTCCGAGCTATATACTAGTATGATACTAGTGTATGACTGTGGTGGGACATTAGAGTGTAAGCTCCTCTGGTGCAGAGACTGATGTGACTGGTTCAGCGTGCTCTGTACAGCGCTGCGGAATATGTCAGAGCTATATGAATGTATAATAATAGTGTGTGACTTCAGTGGGGCATTAGAGTGTAAGCTCCTCTGGTGAAGAGACCGCTGTGACTTGCTAAGTATTCTCTGTACACCACTGCAGAATATGCCAGAGGCAGAGCTATGACTATATAATAATTAGGGATGCACCGATACTAGTATCGGTGCCGATGCCAGTATCGGTGCCGATGCCTAGTATTTGGGCGAGTACTTGCCCAAATGCTCCGATGCCTTGCCCGATACCAGAACTTCCGGTATCAGGAAGCCGGGCAGCGAGTCATTACATGCTGCCCGCCTACCTGAATGGCCGGGAAGCTGGCTTCATGCTCCCTCGTCACCTCATAACGTCCTGACCAATCATCATTACCCGGCACCCGGCTTCCAGATTGCTCAGACAGCCGGCTCCATGCTCTCTCGTCACCTAGTGACGAGAAGCATGGGGACGACTTCCCTGTTAATCGGGAAGCCAGGTGACGAGTCTTTACACGCCGCCTGGCTTCCTGAATGGGACTTCCGGTATCGGCGAGTACTGAAAAACAAATATTGGTACTCGTACTTGTATTAGTGCATCCCTACTAAATAATATTATTAATAATAATCATGTATCACTGTGGGAGCATTAGAGTGTAAGTTCCTCTGGTGCAGATACTGATATGAAGGGCTCAGTGTTCTCTGTACAGCACTACGGAATATGTCAGAGCTATATAAAGAAATGAAACCAGGACATCTACAGGCGACAGATTTTGCAGAATGATGGGGGAACGCCGGACACATAACTCCCAGTCAGATCATTCTGCAGCAACCACCAAAGGCCTCTTACATCTGCTGGATGCGCCGGGTGTAATTTTGGGATGAATAAGGTGGAAAGATTCCAGATTCTGCTCCCTTCACTTCCCCAGTCCTGGCTGTTCATGTTCGACATCTAAATGAAATGGATGATGAGGAAATCAGCCAGCTGACGGTTCGCCATGTGTCCCTTCTATTGGGCTCACGGTAAATGGCAGTGTTGTGATTGTGCCGTTTAGCCGTGTCTAATGAAAAGTGACAGCGCTGGCGGAGAGGAGGGAGGAGAGCCGAGCGCGGGGCTGACAGCTCCCGGATTCAGGTACAAATCACCCACTTCGGTGAGATCTGTGAACAAGTGACATGGACTCTAGCACGTGGAGCGTCGCGCATCATTTCATTTACAGCGCTCATAACTACAGTGAGAAAACTGCCCCAGATATCCAGCCAGCGAGAGCTACTGCTGGAAACTGAGGAGGAATCAGAGCTTGAAAACTCCCTTCCCTGAGATACAAAGCTCCCCTTCAGTCGCATGAGGAAAATTTAAATTCAGGTGACAGAGCCTGCCGAGTGCCTTCAATTCTTATTCTGGCATTCATCTTCTCCAGATGCTGCTCCTGCTAACTAAATACTCACAGCTGCCATTGTCCCATCTTCTAAACAGCCCTGTATGTGATCCTCTGACAATGCAGCCAGTGTGTTCCCGGGTTCAAGCCCCGCCCTCTCTCGCAGCCCCACCATTACATACCTGAAGGAGACAGAAGGGTGCAAAGCTACCTAGAAGATTGCTGAATGTGGCCACAAGGGAAGACGTACACTTCAGATGATACACTGTGACCTGAACACATAACATAATCCTATTCTGTAATAATGCATGTATAATAATACTACTACAATAGTGTGTGGCTATGGTGGGGACATTAGAGTGCAAGCTTCTCTGGTCCAGAGACTGATGTGACTGGCTCAGTGTTCTCTGTACAGCACTACAGTATAAGTCAGAGCTATATAAATGTATAATAATAATAATAAGTGTGTGACTATGGTGGGACATTAGAGTGTAAGCTCCTCTGGTGCAGAAACTGATGTTACTGGATGAGTGTTCTCTGTACAACACTATCATATATGTCAGAGCTATATAAATGTATAATAATAGTGTGTGACCGTGGTGGGACATTAGAATATAAGCTCCTCTGGTGCAGAGACGGATGTGAATGTCTCAGTGTTCTCTGTACAGCACTGCAGAATATGTTTGAGCAATCGCAATGTATAATAAATGCATGAGACTGTGGTGGGACACTAGAGTGTAAGCTCCTTTGGAGCAGAAACTCATGTTACTGGTTCAGTGTTCTCATTACAACACTATATAGTTTTGACATATACCACAGTGCTGTACGGAGAACACTGAGCCAGTAAAATTAGTCTCTGCACCAGAGGAACTTACACTCTAATGTCCCACCCACAGTCACACACTATTATTATATATCAATAAAGCTCTCACATATTCCGCAGTGCTGTACAGAGAACACTGAGCCATTCAGATCAGAGGAGCTTACACCACGGTCACACACTATTGTTATATCTTTTATATAGCTCTGACATATACCATAAATATATAATAATAATAACAGTGTGTGATGGTGGTGGGACATTAGAGTGTAAGCTCCTCTGTACAGAGACTGATGTGACTGGTTCAGTGTTCTCTGTACAGCACTGTGGAATATGTCAGAGCTATATAAATAATAATAGTGTGTGACTGGGGGGGTGGACATTAGAGTGTAAGCTCCTCTGGTGCAGAGACTGATGTGATTTGCTCAGTGTTCTCTGCACTGTGGAATATGTGAGACTATATTTAATGAACATGGATATCTCCTTTAACAACATGCCGCTGCCTTCGGTACGTCTCCCCCCAAAGGATTGTCTCGTTTTTGTAATACGGCCTCCAGTATTTTGCAGCAAAAGTTTCACTGTAAGATCTGAATGTTGTACGTGGGTGGGTGTTCGCCTCCCATCTCCGTCGCCTAATTTGTTAAATGTAAATCAGGAATTAGCGGGCAGGTATCACTCTCCTGCGGCACGCGAGCGCCAACCTCGGCAATCCACTCATTAAGTCGGGTAAGATCAAACAGAGAATGATAATTAAAAAGCTCCCATTGAGCACTTCAACTGCTCCGACCCGCGCAGAGACAAGACGAGGCGGGGGACTGACTTATAAGAGTCGCACTTTGTCTTTCCTAATTAATTTCATACATTTGCTCCTCGCCGTTCGCTACGGGGTCTGCCGCGACACGGCAACACTGCTCGTTTGGCCGCAACTAGAAAAAGATCAATAAGCGTGCGATGACGATGACACTGCAATCCCAAACCAGAAGCAACGTTGGCTTCAAAATGGAGAAGCGGAATATATTTTGTAGAGAGGATTTCCAGCAATCCTCCTCCCCTGCTCGTGTCATTGATGCTTTTCTCCAAAATCTGTACACAGCTTAAAGTTTGACTAAACACAAACATTTTGGATGGGGGAAGGAAGGGTTAAAACCCGGGTCAGGTTTTTTTTGTCATCTTTGTCCCATTGGGGTGATTTCCCCTCACTTCCTGCACTACAGACACAACAGGAAATGAGAAGCAACCGAATGGAAAGCCCTGTGAGCCATCACCAGACAGGCGTCCCTATTGGACCATCCCTGTTTGGATGCCAACTCAAAATATTGTATTTCCCCTCACTGGGGCAAACAGAGGGAGAGAATCACCCCAGTGGGGGCAAAAAAACCAAATCCATTCAAAACTAAAGAAAAATACCATTTTAAAAAATGTGGCTTTGGATAGAGATATAAAAGACGCAAATGAATGCAGCCGCCTTGTAATCATTCAATGTTCTATTTATATACCAGCAGGGTGCTATGGAATATCGGGGTGCCTTCTGGCTTCCTCAGGGGTACCTCAAAATTTTGTGATGGTAGGACTCTGAGGGGGAACTCTGATGGCTGGGATGTGAAAGGGGGAGAGGGGGTTCCACTGTGAAGGGGGGCTGCTGATGTGAGGGGGGGATTCTGATGTAAAGGGGGGCTCTGATGTGAGGGGGGGATTCTGATGTAAAGGGGGGCTCTGATGTGATGGGAGGATTCTAATGTAAAGGGGGGCTCTGATATGAGAGGGGAAGATTCTGATGTAAAGGGGGCCTCTGATGTAACGAGGGGCTCTGATGTGAGGGGAGGATTCTGATGTAAAGGGGAGCTCTGGTGTGAGGGGAGGATTCTGATGTAAAGGAGGGCTCTGATGTGAGGGGAGGATTCTGATGTAAAGGGGGGCTCTGATGTGAGGGAAGGATTCTGATGTAAAGGGGTGCTTTGAGGTGAAAGGGTGGATTCTGATGTAAAGGGGTGTTCTGGTGTGAGGGGAGGGTTCTAATGTAAAGGGAGGATTCTAATGTAAAGGGGGGCTCTGATGTAATAAAGGGCTCTGATGTGACAGGGAGGATTCTGATGTAAAGGGGGCTCTGATGTAAAGGGGGTCTCTGGT